AAAATACGAGGAAGACGTTGAAGAAGGTGCTGATAGATGGGGCAGGCCTCATGTTGCATCTTTGAGCTTCCATTCGTTGCTCAATCTTCGTCGGTGTCTTGAAACCGGCGTGGTACTTCTTGATCTTGAAGAGAAGGACTTACCTGGACTTGCCTATAGGGTGGTCGAACAAATGGTTATAGAAGAATTGATTCTTCCAGAAGATAGACCGGTTATCATGAGAGCACTTCTGTTAAAACATAGACACGTGCACGAGCACGATCGTGGATTTCGTTTCGGTGGAAAACGCAACTATTCCAGTTACACCAGTTTACAGGTTCGTTCGTTTATTAATGATATAGGAATTCGTCAAGTTTTTTAGATTAATTATAAGCAAAAAAAAAAAAGAAACAGGTTCTTGGATCACGGTGGTATATATAATAATAATAATAAAAATAAAAACAGTAATAATAATAATAATAATAATAATAATAATAATAATAATCAATAGACATGAAAGAGATTTTCTTTGTTATTTGATTCTAATACGTTCAAAAAAAAAGTTCCCACACTTATTATATATATAGTAAAAACTCTCCCAAATCTTATAGTAAATAGCTATAGTAAATTGGCAGGAAAATTTGAGGTGTACCTGTTTAAATCAGGAAAGTAATTTATCGACGTCATATAATATTATTTCCACAGTCCATCTGGCTGGAGGAAGAAGAGGCTGCACGAGGAGCCACTGAAAACCATGTAACCCAAAATGTAAAACAACAAAAACATTCGTATCCCGAATTTTTTGAATGCAATTGCAAATTTCTTTTCTTTTTTTTTTTTTTTTTTTTTTTTTGTTTTTCACATTTTTCTATTATACGCTATATTCTTTTCTTTTTTTCCTTTTGTTATTTACTTTCTAGTAAGCTATTATTATCAAGTTATATATATATATGTATTCTTCGTTCAAGATCATCTTTTTAACATGAATTTACAAGGTCAACAGATCATGCACTACGTTCTTCTAATCTAATTTCTTTGTCTACACTGTTATTAACGTGCGTATTTAATTAAAAATGAATTCATGAATTATGTAACGACCTGTAAGTCCATGACACGCAATTTTAGCACCCTTCCATAGTTAGCGATTTTTCTCTTAATTTAATTCAAACGGGTTCCTTTCTTTTTTCTATTGAAATCTTAGACCTCTTTACAATATTACTATTTGTTTGTCAATAGCTACGATTTTCCTTGGCTTCATTTTAATTAGGTATCTTTGCACCCTTATCTATTATATATCTTTTACCTACCTTTTGAATCTTATCATTTTTTAATTTCTTTTATTCGTTTTTTCGCATTAATTCGTATATGTATATTTCGTGTCATTATCGCAAGCGGTGCATAGGATTTCCTATTACCTGATATATATATATATATATATATATATATATATATATATATACATATATTTAGAGTTGACTTAGAAATGAGAACAGTAATATAAATCTACATATACCTAACGAAAATATATAAAAAGGTACAGGTAGATCGCTAATCTCTCGAATCTTTTTTCTCTTTTTTTTTTATTATTATTATTATTTTTTTATCTTTCTTTTTTTTTTTTTCCTCTTGATACAGACATTTTCAACAGCTGTGTGTTATAACGATCAGAAAACCTATGCCCGTTCTTTTTGAACACCATATATTACGTATATTATTAGAAACTTACGACGACAAGCGTATACCTTAATAAATATATGATGAAAAAAAAAAAAAAAAAAAGAAAATTTAATTTTATTTCACAGAATTTGAACGACACAAAACCTAAAATCGTTTCGTCGAACTTGGCTTTGGATAGCAATCATACTATTGTCGATATAAAAGAAGAATTGACATTTACAAGCAGTAACGAGGATCTTAAAAAGGGACAAAACGAGTACATATTGAAAAGAATTCCAGCGGGCGCCGAGGCAACGATTGTTCTCGTAGGTGCTGTAGATTTTCTTGACCAGCCAACGATAGCTTTTGTTAGATTGGCCGAAGGTGTATTTATGCCAGCTATCACGGAAGTAAAGATACCAGTAAGATTTATGTTCACGTTGTTGGGTCCAAGAAATGCGGATTTGGATTACCATGAAATTGGTAGATCGATTGCTACCTTGATGGCTAATACTTCTTTCCATAAAATTGCTTACAAAGCAAACGAAAGAAGAGAATTACTTTCCGCGATTAACGAATTCCTCGATGATTCGATCGTTTTACCACCTGGGGATTGGGAAAGGCAAGCATTGTTACCATTTGACGAATTGAAAGCAAAAAGTGAAGCCATTAGAAAAAGAAAAGCTAAGGCTCTCGAAGAGAAAGCTAAACCAGTTCAGAGTGAGGCAGCAATAAAAAAGGGTAAGACTTTTTTCTCTCTCTCTCTCTCTCTCTCTCTCTCTCTCTCTCTTTTTCATAAATTCGTTCTAACACAACTAAATAAAGAAAAAAATGTTCAATCTTTCAATGCATTCATTCGTTCGTTTCTTTATATATTGAAATATATATTTTTTAGCTCTTCTCGCTGGCGAAGAAGAGAAGAAGCCACCGGACGATGATCCTTTGCGCAGAACACGACGTCCATTTGGTGGCATCATCAATGACATCAAAAGACGTTATCCACATTATCTATCCGACTTTACCGACGGCTTAAGTTCGTCATGTTTAGCAGCAGCAATTTTCATGTACTTCGCAGCACTTTGCGCCGCTATAACATTCGGAGGATTAATGAGCGACAAGACACAAAATATCATTGGAATCTCAGAGACATTGGTCTCTGGTTCATGGACCGGTATAGTGATGGCATTGTTTGCCACTCAACCATTGGTCATCATTGGCACGACAGGACCCCTTCTACTGTTTGACGAGAGTCTCTATAAATTTTGCAAGGCTAATGACTTGGAGTTCCTTACTGTAAGAGTGTATATCGGTGCTTGGATGGGAATAATAGCTTTGACTATAGCTTGTGTCGAAGGATCGGTATTGGTTAGGCTATTCACACGTTTCACAGAAGAAATTTTCACGGGATTGATATCTCTTCTCTACATAGTCGAAACATTTATCAAATTATATAATTATTTCGTACGTAATCCGTTACTAGACGAATATAATTTTTTGCCCGATAGCAATCAGACCCAACCGGTTAACGTGACGGAAATAAAAATCATTTACGAGACATGGAATGGTTCAGAGATAACGGTCCCTTATGATGACATGCGAACTCTCATACCAAAACAAGACGAAGGAGGAACTTTAATAAATCAACCAAATACAGCACTAATGTGTACGATATTATGCTTAGGCACCTTCCTAGGTGCTTATTACTTACGAATATTCCGTAACAGTCATTACCTCGGCCGTAGCGCAAGAAGAGCTTTTGGTGACTTTGGTGTACCCATTAGTATAATCGTATTCGTCCTTATCGATTATTTGGCTAAAGTGAAAACAGAAAAGTTATTGGTACCAGAAGGATTAAGTCCAAGCGTTGCTGGAAGAGATTGGTTCGTATCTCCTGCCGGTGAGAGCCAACCTATTCCCGTATGGGTAACTTTTGCCTGCGCTATACCAGCACTCTTGGTTTACATCCTCGTTTTCATGGAAACACAAATCTCCGAGTAAGAATCTTGAAATTGAATTTCTTTTTTTCTTTTTTTTTTTTCTTTTTTTTTTCTTTTTTTCTTTCTTTCTTTCTATCCCTTCTCATTATAATTAATTGTATTAAAAAGAATTATCATTATTATTATTATTATTATTATTATTATTATTATTATTATTATTATTATTATTATTATTATTATTATTATTATTATTATTATTATTATTATTATTATTATTATTATTATTATTATTATTATTATTATTAGTATTATTATTCTTACTATTATTATTATTATTATTGTTGTTGTTGTCTGTTGTTGTTATTGTTATTGTTGTTGCTGTTGTTATTGTTGTTGTTATTATTATTGTTATTATTCAATACAGGCTAATCATCGACAAGAAAGAACGTAAATTACGTAAGGGCAATGGTTACCACATGGATATAGTTGTGGTATGTCTAATGAACGTCGGTTGTGGATTAATGGGTGCTCCTTGGTGCAGTGCAGCATCAGTACGTTCATTGACACACGTATCGGCAGTTACCATAATGTCACGTACACATGCGCCCGGGGACAAGCCACATATTGTCGAAGTTAAGGAGCAACGTGTTAGCGCGTTACTTGTTGCCATTTTAATGGGAGTTAGCGTATTAATGGCACCATTATTAAGGCGCGTACCTATGTCCGTCCTTCTCGGGGTATTCCTATACATGGGTATATCCTCGACAAATGGCGTACAATTGTTCGACCGCGTAAAACTTTTCTTCATGCCGGTTAAACATCATGGAACGGCCAATTACGTTCGTCGTGTCCAAACATATAAAATGCACATATTCACTACGATACAAATATTGTGCCTAACGATACTCTGGATCGTGAAGAGTACAAAAGCAGCCCTAGCACTACCGTTCTTCCTAATACTGATGATACCTCTGCGAGCTCAAATGAGCCACTTCTTTACAGCTGCTGAATTACGTGCTCTTGATAGCAAAGGACCGGAACATGAAAGCACCGAAGACGAGCCTGACTTTTACGAGGAAGCTCCGCTACCTGGTTAGACTGTGCCTTATTCGACCTATTATCATCCGGTGTATATTATTCTCTTCTGATATTCGTTCTCTTTTTAAAGAAAAAGAAAGAAAAAAAAAGAAAAAAAAAAGAAAAGAAAAGAAAAGAAAAAAAAAGAGCTACTCTCTAACACGTGTCTCTCGTATTCTCCGAGGAAAAAAACAAAAAACGAAAAAAGGCAAGGAAAGGAAGAAAAAAAAAAGGAAAAAAAAATCCTCGAAAGAGAAAAAACTAAAAAAAAAAAAAAAAGAAAAAAGAACACAACAAAAGAAAAGAAAAATAATATTCGTAATTATCCTCCTCTCTCGTGTATTATTATCATCTGTCTCTATATAAAAAAAACATAAAAAAAAAAAAAAAAAATAAAAAAAAAAATAAAAAAAAAATATATATATATATAATTATGAATCGTCTCCGATCAATCAAAGAGGATAAATTTATTTTATTCAAGAAATGAGATCGCAAATATCAAAGCAAACAAGCTATATATACATATACATATATATATATATATATATATATATATATATATATATATATATATATATGTATATATATAGGGGTCCACGATGATGATGATGATGATGATGATGATGATGATGATGATGATGATGATGATGATAATGATATGATGATGATGATGATGATGATGATGATGATGATGATGATGATGATGATGATGATGATGATGATGATGATGATGATGATGATGATGATGATGATGATGTATCTAAAGGAAAGCAAGGTAACTAGAAATAAGTTGCTAACGGAGATGAAAATTAAGAAAAAGAGCATGTGTGTGACTATTATTTTGTATTAAACACATTGTAAATAATTAATGAACTTATTGATAATATGCGTCAAACGATTAAGCAATGTGATGATTATACGTATGCATGCCTAAATGAATGCCCCGCCCAACCCCCGCCCCCTACTCTCTGCCCCCTAAGTCGTGATAATGATAAGTTTAACTTGTCCAAAATGTTAGAGTATTAGATGAAAATGACACCATCGGTCGCTTCTAAGAAATATTTAGATGCATCATTTGTGTAGAAGAGAGAGAGAGAGAGAGAGAGAGAGAGAGAGAGAGAGAGAGAGAGAGAGAGAGAGAGAGAGAATGAGAGAGAGAGAAAGAAAGAAGAGAGATAGATTTACTCAGGTAAAGTGCACACCTTTTAGGCACATAATATGAGAAGTGCCAAATTTGAGATCATTCAAAGATCCATAAAAGATCACAATGACGAATGATGATAAAGTTCTGAACGTTTATCGAACGTTCGTTCTGAAGAAGAAGAAAAAAAAAATGAAGAAAAAAAAGAAAGAAAACAGAAAAAAGAAAGAGAGAAAAAAAAAGGAAAAGACAAAACAGGCTTCATATTATGAATCAACAAACAAATCATATTTTGAAACGATATTTTGTTTCGATTATTAGATAAACCTAAAAATCATTGATTTCTATTGAATTAATAACACCTACCTCCTTGGAGAGTTACATAGTCGAGCTTGAAAATGTCTGAAAAAAAAAAAAACGAAAACAAAAAAAATTATTAACACAGTATCTTCTCAGGAGTAATTCATTATATATTCTCATACATACGTATGTTGTGTAATGATAAAATAATTAATGATACATTTTATGTTTTAATCTATAACAGCCCACAGAGTTCTATAATTGATACACACACACACACACACATACACACACACATATATACACGTATACACGTATACTCTGTAATATCTGTTTCTAAATTTTGAAATATAACACTTACACATTTTATGATATTTAATAGTACTTAATCTTTCACAAGGATGTATATGTGTATATATATATATTTATATATGTGTATATATATATATATATGTACATACACACAGTATATATATATATATGTATTAAGTAAAACTTTCTTGAGATATCTTTAGATAAAATATTGATTGATTTTTTCGAAGCAATCTTATAAGTGGTGCTCTAAAAAGAAAAAAAAATGTATTTAAAAAGAAAGGTACCTGAATAATAATACATTGCATCCTGAGAAGAGTAATAAGCGCGTTATACGTTATCATTGCGTTGTAAGATATTGCTATTTTCGATACTAAAAGCTTAAAACAATGTAAATGTTATATTTTTGGAACAGATAAAGACATTTTCTTCATTTCACAAAACAACATATTTTCACATATATTGAAACTTGTATATTAGGAGATAATATATTATACTTCTTTCAAAATGATTGAATATATATAAATTGATTTTCTTATTTTACCGAAAATTATGAATAACGATAACGAATGGCTTAAGTGAAATAATAATTCCATTAATAATTTTTTCATATATTATTATTATTATTATTATTATTATTATTATTATTATTATTATTATTATTATTATTATTATTATTATTATTACTATTACTATCATCATTATCATTATTATTATTATTATTATTATTATTATTATTATTATTATTATTATTATTATTATTATTATTATTATTATTATTTTCTCTTGCGAATTTATTCATTAGGTATTAATTATTGAAATAAGAATATATAATCAATTATTTTTCTTCTTTTATTTTTAATTTTTTAATTTCTTTTTTTTTTTATTTTTATTTCTTTTTTTCTTATTTTTTCTTTTTATTATTATATATATATTTTTTTTTTTTTAATTCAAGAGTTCCATGCGTTTTAATGTTTTACAGTTAAGTAAGTCTAATGCAAATGTAAGAAGAAGATTTTATCAATACTTTCTTCAGAACATTAGAATTATAATAGATTAGAAAGTTTACATTTTTAATCGTATTAAAGTTTGACTCTATATTATAATATATTGTAGTTTTGCAATATATGGCAGATATATATAAAAAGATCTAAGTGGATGAAAGGAGAGAACCTTTTTTTCTAATATGAAATATTAGAGAGAAAGAGAGAGAGAGAGAGAAAGGAAATATTTTATTTCGTCAAAATATTTTATTAATTATTATATTAACATTGTTATTAACGAAATGTTTACTTTGGCTGTTTCTGAATATAATACACAGATACACACACACATACATACAAACACACAAACACACAACACAAACAAGACATGCATATGCGTCCTCGCGCATCTCTCAGATCATTTTACTATAGTTATTATTCTCTACTAAGTAGAATAAAAAAAAAAAAGACATACGAACAACAAAGAAAATAATAATAATAATAGTAGACTCTTATATACTTGTGATAGAAACTGAGAGTAACTTAAAAAAAAAAGTGATATATATATATATATATCTTTTATAAAAAATATATATATATATGTAATAAATAAATAACTCACGATACTTTACGAGCATGTTCTTATTAGTAATATAAAGTTTGTAACACATACATACATACATACATACATACATACATACATACATACATACATACATACATACATACATACATACATACATACATACATACATACATACATACATACATACATACATACATACATACATACATACATACATACATACATACATACATACATACATACATACATACATACATACATACATACATACATACATACATACATACATACATACATACATACATACATACATACATACATACATACATACATACATACATACATACATACATACATACATACATACATACATACATACATACATACATACATACATACATATATACATACATATATACATACATATATACATACATATATACATACATATATACATAAATATACATACATGCATACATACATGCACACAGATACCGAGGGAAAATCGTCAGTAGAAAATTACACTATGTATTATTGTAGTATTTGGCACACGTTATTGTATTCACACCACTGATATTACCTATATTGAGAGAGATTATTGAAAAACGATCATTAATTGTTATGAAGTGAGATAGAGAGAGAGAAAAATTGTAAATAATTTAATTATCGTACAGTATTAAGAAGTAATAATTAGAAATATAGGCTCTTAGTAGCTGGTTTACGCCTTAAAAAATAGAAAATGAGAACAAAATAAAACATATTTTAATTGCTTCCCGTTGTTAAATCCTTATTTACTAAATGTCTCTTTTTTTTTTTTTTTCCAAACATTTTCTCAGATATATAACATAATCGTTTGTTGTTAAGCAGAAAACAAAATCAATCCATGACCTTTTATAATGTAATTTAAGAATAGTAGAAGTAAACATTATTTCCCTTTACTTTTGGAGATATGTTTAAGTGAAAAAAAAAAAAGAAAAAAAAAAGGGAAGAAAAAAAGGTTGTTGACACAAAATGTATTCTTTAATTATTCTTTGGGTTTGATTATGTATGAAATTTCAATCGTTAAATCATAAAAATGGCTTCGCCACGAATAATTTCAAAATTTCAAAGTTTATCTCCAGTACCAAATTTAAGGTAATACGGACGTTCCTTCATTCAAAATGAAATATTTTGTTAGAGAAAACGTGTACTTTTTTTTTTTGTTAAAAAAATATAATTTATAGGAATTCATTAACACCTAGAAGTTTTATAAAAAATAATAATTATATTAAATCACCGGAAAATAAAAATAGATTATCGCCTTTCAATGTTAATACACCTGACAGAAAAGAAATTCTTCTAAATGGTTTACCTAATAAACAACGAATTGTATTAGGTACTGGAGGATTTGGTACAGTCTATAAGGCATTATATAAAGGTAATATTTATTTTAATTGCTTTATTATTGATTATATTATCATAGAATTGATAAATCAATCATTTTATTTATAATGTAGGAAATCAAGTAGCAGCAAAAATATTGAAAAAATCAAAGGATAGCGATAATATTATCAATTCGGAGAAGCATGCTTATTTATTGAGGCATACCAATATTGTTAATATTTTAACCATAGAAGAAGGTGCTGCTTTATCATTGATAACAATGGAATTATGTGGTATTACGTTACAAGATCAATTGGAAAAAAAAGCTTTAGACAGAAGAGAACGTATTCGTATTTGGAGGGATATAGCTTGTGCTCTTCAATTCTGTCATAATGCGGGTGTGGTTCATGCGGATGTGAAGCCAAAAAATATTTTAATTGGAAATTGTGGTCAACCTAAACTTACAGACTTTGGGAGTTCTGTCTTAATAAATAAAGTACATGCCGAACAGGCATCTAATGTAAGTAAAAAAAAAAAAAAAAAAAAAAGAAAAGAAAAGAAATGTCTACGCTATTAATTTTTCTATTAATACAAAAAGCATTTATCATTCTTTTTAAAGATAATGACAAGTACACCAGGTTATGCAGCACCAGAAGTTTTATGCGGAATAATTCCCAGTCCTGCTGCAGATATTTATTCTTTAGGCGTTTTAGCCTGGCAAATCCTTTCTAGGAAAATACCCTTTGAAGGATTCCACGTGCATACTATTATCTATTTATCTGTAAAAGGAAAGAGACCTTATGATGAAGATCTCAATGATGAATTTCAAGGACGATACAAGTCATTATATAGAGAGATGTGGTCTCAAAAAATTACAGCTCGACCAATAACAAGTAAAGTGATCTATATGCTAGATATCCTAATGAATAAATAGGTTTTATTTAAATCAATTAATGTTCTATACTTGTTAGTATACGCGTCGCTTATTATTATACATTATTAAATAAATGTCGTGTTTACATATAATATATATATATATCAAATATGTGAAAAGAGAAATGTGATTTTATGTATCTGGCATCTCTCCACCAGGCACAAGCTGTAAAAAGAAAATCAATTGTTAAATTGTAAGGTTATATCAATACATAAATAATTATTTTTTATTATATACGAACCATGGTGATATTGCTACCGTTTAAAAGAATTTGATCTAATTTTGTAACTCGTCGACCTTCAGGAGTTGCTTCGCTCTCCGTCACATCCTCCAATAACATATTTACAAAATCATCGAATCCTAACAAAGTACCAACGATCTCTTTATCGTTTTTCATTATAATATGTATTCGCGATCCAATACATTTATCGACCAATTCTGTGAATTTCGTATGAATTATTTTTAAAAAAGATAAATAACAAAGCCAATGGATGTACATACGTACGTATATATATGTGTGTACATAACCACAAAAATATTACATCAAAATTATTATGTCACTTACCTAAAGGTAATAAGGTAGAAGGATTTGTACTAACCGAACTGGTCATTATTTATAATAACTTAATCGATAGAGAGAGAGAGAAAAAAAGAAATCACAATTTAAAAATAATACTTATACCTCAAAATATATTTACGTACTGCTATACCGCGCTTTTAGCTTACAACAATTCAGTGTTACCAAATTCGTCCGAAGAAATTTAATGTCCTATCGTAAAGTTTGTTTCTTAAGAAACTACATTATCGACGTTATCTCATTTGCGCCATCTCTCGTGTAAATGACGAATATCATTTTTAGAAAAATCCTGTGAAGAAGAAGATCGAAAGAATTGAAACAATTTCATATGTAAAAATACCTTAAACCCAATCTTAAAATTAGATACGAAAATATATTTTTGCGTCATTGTAGATCTTCATTCTTTAACAAGAAAATATTTATTTGAGATTTTATCAAAGTTAATAAAAACATTGCGCTCAATCGAACGACCAATGATAATCGAATGATAATCGAATATTTCTCGTGTTCTTAGATGGCGCCACTGGCGTTAAAGAAACAAAGGCGGTCTTTTGGTCAATGACAGAAAATCACACGCTACAGTAGGATTAAGACCGTCGTTGTACTTGGTGTGCGCCTTATCACGAAATTAAGTGGACATTGAAATTATCTTAATATTACAATATCATAAGAGACAATATTTCTAAGGTGGTAAAAACGTGCTCGTTTAAGTTTATGTTAAATCAAAAATTAAATTTTTATCGTTCGATCGGTAGTCGGTGATGCGCGACAGCGGCGGCAACGACGACGACGACGAGGACGACACGTTTGAGTGATAACGACCTTCGACTTTCCCCTTAAAATTTCGAAATACGATCATCTCATTATCTTAATATTACGTATGCGGTCTCACAAAGATTAATCAACGTATTCGAAATATTTCTAAATTACGTTCATCGTCATACCTAACCTAACGCATCGAAGATAGCGCGTATTCGAATACGATTAAACAAAAAAAAACACTCTAATGAGAATGAATGACGAGTAAATTGTTAAAAAACAAAAAAGGAATAATAAATAAATAAACAAAAGAAAAGATATAAATTACGAGCAAAATATCTATTGATTTCTCTATCGTTTTAATAAAAACATAACGAGAGATTCTCAGGTCTCGACTACGCGTCACCATATTAAAAGGCTCTTGATATAATTTCGAATCAATTTCGAAATCAAATAAGATGTCTCGACGAAAAAATCAATCAGAAAGAAACGTGAACTCGTGTTTATAGATGTTTTATAAATAAATTGTATATATATATATATACATATATATATATATTTATATATACGCATACACACTTTTTCCATATCATTTTGATTTTTTCACAAAGTTGCGAAAGAACCAGAGTTTGCTTCGTATCATTCTTTGTGGAGACAGATTAATTCGCTGATCGTTACAATTTCTTATCTACGAAGAAAATAATTTTAATCACGGAAAAAAAAGGAACGAACAGACGAAAACAAAAACTAGAGTAAAAAAACGTACGAACTCTCAAAGAAAAGATCAAACGAGCGAGAAGAAACAAATAAGAGGCAAAGTAAAAGTGTTACGAAACTTCATAAAGAAAAATAAAAAGAAAGAAATAAATAAATAAATATAAAAATATCTAAATAAATCTTTATTCATGTAAAATCTAAATAGCATTATACCTTCTCGGAATTGAGGAAATTTTTAAAAGAGGACGCGCGTAGGCGCGCGCACGCACTCCTATATTGTATATATACACACACACACACACATGCATATAACAGAGGGATACGACTAAACAGAGGAAAGGTACCTACATAGGTGTACTTCTGTGTTACTGTTGCTGCTGCTGCTACTGCTGCTGCTGCTGCTACGAGGAGTTTGGATAAAAGATGGCGGAAATTCGGCCGTCATCCTTCTCTTCGTCGTCGTCGTCGTCGTCGTTATTGTCGTCGTCGTCGTCAGTGTTCTTGTTATTTAATTTATTAATAAAATATTCTACGACGTATACGAACAAAAAATACGCTGATACATCGATAAGTCGAAATACATTACAAAATTGTGCATCGTCCTGCGTGTGTTATGTGAGCGTGTGAAAACTTGTTAGAAATATATATATATATACACATATATATATATATATGTATATATATATATATTTATATATGTAAATTTGGAATAAAAGTAATCAAATTCCAATCTCGTCGTGATCCAAAGAGAAAGACACGAACGACAAGTAAAAAGAGAAAGAGAAAGAGAAAGAGAAAGAGAAAAAGAAACGGAGAAGAAGAAGAAGAAGAAGAAGAAGAAAGAAGAGAAAGAGAGAAAGAAATAAAGAAAACAAAAAAAAAAGAAAAAGAAAGGAACGAACGAGAAAGGTGTACGATTGCCTACGTGATTTTCTTTAAATGAGGAAGATCTCCTAATGCTTCTCTCGTCGAAAAGGTAACGGACATTTTCGTGCCCGTTACCTGTGTTGTTACCACTCAACTGTAATACGAAAGAGGAACGGAGACAGTGATAAAGAGAAAGAGAGAGAGAAAGAGGGAGGGAGAGAGAGAGAGAGAAAGGAAAAGAATATATATATATATATATATATATATATATATATATATATATATATATAATAAAAGGAAAAATCCCAGGACATTTTCTACCTGAATATATTAAGAGGATTATAAATCCAGGTAGATAATTTATTACCTTTTTAATGACACCCATATAACAGATAATATGAAAAATATATTTAGAGTTTAAAAACCTGGGTATATGTACATTTCTTCTATTTTATTTTATTTTATTTTTTTTTATATATATTTATTATACTCTCTTCTCTCGCTCTCTCTCTCTCTCTCTCTGTCCCTACCTCTCTCTCTCTCTTTTTCTTTTTCTTTGTCTCCTCTTGTTATCTTTTTTGAAAGACAATAAACAAAGGGTGGTCATTCGGAAAGATTTCGGAAAAATAAAAGAGAGAGAAAGAGAGAGAGAGAGAGAGAGAAAAAGAGAGGGGGAAGAAATAGAGAAAGTTCCCATAAGTATAAGAGGGAATAGTTGACAATAAATAGTAGGGTAGTATATACACGTGTTCAGAGAAGTCCGGATGGGAGCATCGTCGTGGATAGGATATCGGAATTACCCAAGAACGTCGACGAATCGTCGTGCCAGAGGAGGAGGAGGAGGTGGTGGAGGTGGAGGAGGAGGAGGAAAAAAAGGAAGAGAAAGAGAAAAAAGAGGAACAGAAGAGGCAGAAGCAGAAACAGAAGCAGAAGGAGAGGAAGAAAAAGAAGAAAAAGGTGTTGCTGCTGCTAGTGGTGATAATAGTAGTTGCAGTAGTAGTAATAATAATAATAATAGTTGCTGTTGTGCTGGTGGTGCTATTGCTGGTGGTAGTGATAATATTAGTGTTAGTATTAATTGTGAAGAAGGTAGTGAAGGTGAATTAAGTGAAATAGCACCAGGAGCAGGAGGAATAAAAGAAGGAGGAAAAGGAAGAGAAGGAGGAGGAGGAGGAGGAAGAGACACTTTACCGGAAGCGGAAGAAAGAAGAAGAAGAAGAGGTGGTGGAGAAGGAGGAAGAGGAAGAATACCATGGCGAAAACTAGTACCGGTGGTGGTGTTTCTTACGGTGTTGTACCAGAGATGAGACATTCCAAGAGCGAGGATCTCCTTGGTGCTATACCAAATTCAAGATCGACGAGTCCAACCATCGGTTTATTACCTAGCACAGCTTCCGAGGACGATTTAATAGCTGCCAGTGCATTACACGAGTCAACCGATCGTCATCGTCATCGTGTTGTAGTTGCCGCGGCCGCGGCCGCAGCTGCCGCAGCCGCCATTGCCGATACCACTAGAAGGTTACCACCATCCTCCTCAACTACATCGTCATCGCCATCGTCATCGTCATCCACTAAGACACCTAATAAAAATAATGATAATAGATCAACGACGACCACCAATTTATTTGCTACGAAATTTGTTGGTACGCCTCCTGGTCTTCTTACCGATCGCATCGATCCTGAAGATTCTATTCGCGATATCGTCACGGAGAATGATCTTTATAGGTAAGTTAATGATAGATATAAATTCAGAGATAATATATGTGGGTGTGTGTGTGTGAGAGAGAGAAAGAGGCAGAGAAAGAGAATTTTTTTACCTACGTGATCTCGACTATATCGCATATATATATATATATATATATATATATATATATATATATATATATATCTGATGAGATGAGAAAACAAGACGATATGATGACGTGATGTATTTAATAATTTCAATGTTATATATCGATCGATAAAAGTCAGTAAAAAAAGATCTTGTTTAATCTATGTATGAATGTATCTATGTTAGATTTTCGATCTATCATCTTAAAGACGATTTAACCTATTCGATCTTTCCTTTTTATACACGTGGATTAAAATACGTATCATTAAATTACACTATCATTGAATTAATTTATTCTACACATATGTGTATGTGAAAGAGAGAGAGAGAGAGAAAGAAAGTTTAATATTGAAACGTAATACGTATGTATGTACATAATTTAAAAATATTTTTGTTCGTTCGTTTGTACGTTCGTTCAAAGTTATAGGTAAGATAATGTATAAAAAAAAAAGAGATCGATATTTTTTTGATCTTTCGACTTTGACGGTT